AATAGCTAGGGAAAAGGGTTGAAAGCCAAAAGTGGTGTGTTGTATTAAGTGCCAGTATTCTCCTGGCACAAAACAGTACCGAGCTTTTTTCACTAAAGTGGGGAAAGGGACCTACCAAATTTTTACTGATAGATACCCTTTTTTGGCAATACACATACCATCAAAATTAGCAAATCCTTCGATACCAAAAACTTTGGCATACCCCTAATTGAAGTGAAAACTTTTTAGAAAATTTAATGATTTTATTTTCCAAGAAGGTACAAAATTTACGAGGAGGGGGTCAATAGTCATGTTTTACAATACTCGAAATTTAAAACTACGTGTCCTGTCCCAAAAAAACTTAGTGCTGGCTTCAGGTACACATTAAAACCACTAAGGTGTCTTATTAGTTTTGATGCCATTTTAAAAATAATAGCAATAACACTAAAGGCACAAAAAAATGTTGTAATTTGTAATATAACTTTTTTTAATCCTTTTTATTTTTTTTTCGAAATTATATAATAAACACACTATGTAAACATAAACTGAAAAATACATCCACAGTAAAAAAATTAACAAAAAAGAGATTTTAGGTGTAGATGTGTGTATGAACCCAAAAACCAGAGTATTCATTGTTTTTTTTTACTTTACGTGTCTCTCACCCTCCCATTTACTCATTTCCCCTCATTGTTTTACCCTTTACTCGCCTCTCGCCCTACATTTGAAAAATTTTAAGGGGAAGAATGAGGAACCCATGGCATTTTATCGCTTAAAAGGGGGCTTTTTAAAAATTTTAGTTTTTACTGGGGTAGGGGGGCCTGGGCCCCTACAATACCTCCCACCCCCTGACTTCCACAATAAATACTACCGCCTTTCCCCCTACTTAGACTACAAAAATTTTAAAGGGAAGTAAAGAAGTACTGTATCAGTAGGGCCCCACTTATACGGCAGTTAGGTTCCAGGTACCGCCGAAAGTGGAACACCCTTTTTTTTTTTTTTTTTACTTTTAAATGCATACAAAATACTGATAACAATTAAATAACATATATTAAGTTAGCAAATAGAACAGGCACAAAAAACAAAAAAAAAAGACAATACACACATAGTCACCATTATTACCTTAAAATTTTTAGTCTTAATCACATGGACAAGTAGCATTTATTGCAAGAAATCAAGGTGGTACGTAGGGAGTCAGCCGGGACCATACCAGGCCACATAATATTCTTAACATTTAAGCACCCCAAACGATAAAATGCATTACAGTTTACTCATTACTTTCCTTAAAATATTTGTAGTCTTAATCAGGGTAGATGGGTAGTATTTATTTTTAAAATGGGTCAGGTAGGGGTGGGTGGTTGCCGATATGAGCTTTTCCCGGGATAGTTCTAGCGCCAGTAAATTATTTCCAAATAGGGAAAAAGATCAAACAAAAATATCCTAAATGGATGAAAAAATAGATTAAAAATACTGATGGTCAAAAAGAGGCATATATAGGCAAATAAAAAAGGAGGGGGCAAATTTAAGGGGAATCGATATATTTTTTAAAAAGAGAAATAAAAAAGGGGTTAGAAAAGCAAAAAAAGATTATGAGGGTAAAATTGCAAAAGAATCGAAGACTAACCCAAAAAAATTCTTTCAGGTAAACGAAGTAAAATCAGGGACAAGATAGGCCCACTCAAAAGTTCCTCGGGTCAGCTCACTGACAGTGTAAGGAAATGTGTAGAATTTTTTTAACAATACTTCCTCTCAGTTTTTACACAGGAGGATACAGCGATATTCCAGTAATGATAAATTATGTAGAACAGGACGATAATAAACTGTGCACGATTAGGGTCACAAGTGACATGGTCCTTAGGCAAATAGATAAATTAAAACCTAACAAATCCCCAGGCCCTGATGAACTGTATGCAAGGGTTCTAAAGGAATGTAAAGAGGAGCTTAGCACACCTTTGGCTAATCTTTTCAACATATCACTACAAACTGGCATGGTGCCAGGTAAATGGAAAATGGCAAATGTGATACCTATTTTCAAAGCAGGTGACAGCCCTTTAGCTTCAAACTATAGACCAGAAACCCTAACCTCCATAGGGGGAAATTTTATGGAATCAATAATTGCCGAGGCACTTCGTACCACCTTGAAAGCATAAATTAATCAACAAATTTCTCAGCATGGTTTTACAAACGGGGGTTCCTGCCTTACAATTTATTAACTTTTTTCACTAAAGTATTTGGGAGGTAGATCATGGTAATGAATATGATATTGTGTATATGGACTTTAGTAAGGCTTTTGACAGGGTCCCACATCAGAGACTATTGAGGAAAATTAAGGCACATGGAATAGGAGGAGAAATTTTTTCCTGGATAGAGGCGGGGTTTACAAATAGGCAGCAGGGGAGTTTTTCATAAATGGGGAGAAATCAGAGTGGGGGAAGCGTCACGAGCGGTGTTCCACAGGGGTCAGTGTTGGGCCCGTTGTTGTTCACAATCTACTAAAAAGACATAGATGAGGGCATAAAGAGCGACATCGGCAAGTTTTTCATTGACACCAAAATAGCGTCGAATTCATTTCTGACAGGAAATTAGAGACTTAGAAGATTTGATAGACTGATGCAGTGTCGGAGAAGGCAATCTTTTAATATAGACAAATGCAAAGTTTTTTAAATGTTGGACAGACAATAACATGCCAATATAAACTAAAATAATGTTTGATCTAAATATTACGGATTTTCGAAAAAGATTTAGGATTCTGGGTAGCAGTAATCTGAAACCCAAAACAACGTTGCATAAATGGTTTGAATAAAGCTAATAGAATCCTTGTTCATATCAAGAAGCATAAAATAATAAGAGCTCAGGTTTGTTCTTCAACTCTATACATCCTTGGTTAAAGGCCTCTTTAGATTATGCTGCACAGTTTTGGGCACCGTAATTACAGAAAGGGTATAAATTCTCTGGAGAATGTACAAAGGAGGATGACAAAGTTGATCCCATGTATCAGAAACCTTCCCTATGAGGATAACAAAGGGGCCCCTGGATCTTGCACTCTCTAAAAAGACGTAGAATTAGGGGGATATGATTGAGGTGTATAAATGGAAGACGGGAAATAAAATAAAGGGGATGTAAATAGTGGCTGAAAATACTAGCCTAGACAGGACTCACAGCAATGGTTTTAAGTTGGAAAAATTCAGATTCAGGAAGGATTTTAGGAAAGTACTGGTTTGGTAATAGAGTTGTGGATGAGTGGAACAAAAATCCCGAGTACAGTTATAGAGGCCAGAACGTTGTGCAGCTTTTAAAAATAGGTTGGATAAATACATGAGTGGATGTGGGTGGGTGTGAGTTGGACCTGATTAGCTTGTGTACCAGGTCGGTTGCCGTGTTCCTCCCTTAAGTCAATGTGACCTGACCTGATAGGTTTGGGGGTGCATTGGGGTTAAAACCGGTGGGGGGAGACTTGGACCTGCCTCGCATGGGCCAGTAGGCCTTCTGCAGTGTTCCTTCGTTCTTATGTTCTTATGTATGGTAGCCAGCCGGGCTACCATACCAGGCCACCCCACCCACACATACTATTCTATGATATTTAAGCATCCCAGAGCAATAAAATGTATATACAGTTCACTCATTACTTACCTTAAAATATTTGTAGTCTTAATGTAGGGTCAGGAGTAAGTAAATGAGATAAAATGAATAAATGAGAGAGAGAATGAGTACATGAGAGAGGACAGACGCAGAGTTATGTAATGACGCTCTGAGTGAAGGCAGAAGGAGTGAAGGTTGTGGAAATAAGTCACTCTGACTTTTTTGGGTTATCCTAGGTTCTCTACACATACGCTGTTATGTATGATAATCTGTGTAACTGTATTTGTGTATACCTGAATAAACTTACATAGATACGAAAGGAATAATTTTCTACAGTTACCCCCAGTAACACATTTTCTCTTATGTTAGATTAGAGAAAATGTTATTCTTGCCGTCACTTGTACAAGTTACCTGGCTACCACATCTCATATTTATGTTTATTTATTCTATTGTGGGGTGTATTTATCATCTTTATATGTTATGTATCATGTTTATTATATAATTTTGAAAAAAATATCATGGATAGATTAATGAAAATGTGTATATTAACGTAACATACGACATTTAAATGAGACTCGATGATTATTATTATCATTACTAATATGACGTCTGGAGACATAAGAGACTCTTACTGATTTTAATGTGTGCCAGCACAGTATGCAAGTTTATTTAGGTACAGGTATACATAAGTATAATTATCAGAGTATATATAAAATAACTTTTAAAAACACTTGAAATTTTGGAGTTTCCAGACAAAATGGAGACTTAGTGCTTATGGATCTCACAGAGAATGTAAACAAGCCGGGTGGGGCTGCAGTGACAGTATTAGAAAGTCAGGTGGGGGGAGCCGTATAGCGAGTTTTGGTCATAATTTGAAATGACCGTATTAGCGGAACGCCGTAAAGCGGGACCCCACTGTATGCATTTTATTGCTCTGGGGCGCTTTAAATATCGTAGTATATTACGTGTGAGTGGGGTGTCCTGGCTGGCTACCATACTTCCTACACCTGACTTCCTACAAATAAAATACTACTCACCTCTCACCCTACATTAAGACTACAAATATTTTAAGGTAAGTAATGAGTGTATTGTGTGTGTGTTTTACTTATTGTTTTTAATGCTTAGTTCTACTGTTAATATATGTTAGTGTAAACTTATCTTGCATTTATATGCATTTATAGGTGGAAAAAATGGAGTTCTGCTCTCTGGCGGTAGCCTGGAACCTAACCTGCAGTATAAGTGGGGCCCTACTGTACTTTATTTTACAGAAGAATAATTTATTGTAGGGCATACTCAGCTTGTTAATTTTATTTTTAAGATCTTGCATTCAACACGTAGAGCCTGTTTTATATCTAATAAATCTGATATTAACTTTTAAGGTTCTCAAGTTATACAGATTTCATTATATCCTAGTATTGTTAATTACTGCATTTTTTTTTTTCCAGTCTAATGAAAAGCCTGAATCTGCAAAGAAGTCAAAATCAGGACGTGGTAGTTCCAAGAGGGGTCGATAAACTTGTAAGATTTAGGTGCTTTTCAATACAGGTTACTTGAGAGGCATATTTAGAAATATGAATAACTTAGTTACCAACCACTTTTGCTGAGACTAACACTTCAATGGATAATATATAGAATGATAGTTTTGGATTTTAAGTTTTTCTTTTTTATTAATTTATTTTTTTCAAAATGTCAGTCATAAAAAGAAGAAAGATTTGAATTGAACAACACTTGAATTAACATGGTATTCATTTTTTATATTTTGCAGAAAAACTAAGCAACTTAACCCTATTTTAAAATTTATACAATTCTGTACTATATAAAGTAACTATCTTACCTAGTCCATTCAAGAAAAATTTGGTAGGTTGATCATATGGTGGTAATGGATGATGAATTTTAATTAATCTTTAGTTTCATAAATTGCGTAAATGTGCTGAATTTTTCCCTTCATAAAATGCATAATTAAAAAAAATATATTAGCCATGTGTAAATATTAGACCTCTACAGAATTGAGGATTGGGCTGTTTAGTTGTTGGTTTCATTCTGAAGTGTACATAGCATATGAAGATGTACAGTTTAGAATAAAAACCATCTAGACTACTGCTTAGATCAGAATAAGATACAAATTCAACATTCCCCAATAGCCCAGATAGTATGAGGAAATTTTGAGATAAATTGGTCAGTAAACTTAATGTAGCAGTGAATGGACAACTTTTTTTTTTTTTTTAACAAGTCGGCTGTCTCCCGCCGAGGCAGGGTGACCCAAAAAGAAAGAAAATCCGCCAAAAGAAAATACTTTCATCATCATTCAACACTTTCACCTCACTCACACATAATCACTGTTTTTGCAGAGGTGCTCAGAACACAACAGTTTAGAAGCATATACCTATAAAGATACACAACATATCCCTCCAAACTGCTTTATACATGTTTATTGGCACTAATGGCTAAATTATTTTAAGTTTGTCCTTACCCATTGTGTATGCAATTCAATCTTTTATTATTCATTGATAAATTTGTTGACAGTAACTAGTTTACCTTTATAGACTATGAAACTCTTATGCCCCATTAATTGGCAGTGGATAGCAGACCATTGATAATTTTAAGTTGTGTAGTTTTTAGATAGATTCCTATTAAGTAATTTCAGCTAAATTATTCACTTCAGTCAAAAAGTTGTATCACTTGATACCATTCAGAAATTAGTGATAATAAACCCATCATACTGACAACTAAATTTGTTCATATTTAATCCCTAATATTGGGCAGTTGTATCTTAACCAGCAAGATTGAGAGTGGAAAACTGCAGCATGTTCCTTGGACAGATGCTACCAGATCAAAGGTAGAAGTTTTCAAAGAGGAAACTGGATCAGTATTTGCTGAAAGTGCCTGATCAGCAAGGTTATGATGGCTGTCATTGTATGGGCTACTAGCAGCACCAGTTTGGTTGACCAGTGATCAACAAGGTAGCCAGATCAAGAGGGTAGAAGAGACCTTGAAACCAGTCACAGGTAAGTCTGTGGAGGGTAATCAAGTTTGCTCTATCTTGTATCATTTTCACCAGTTAGCTTTAGTGGAGCCAAAGGGGTGTGGGCATTACCTAAAACTTCCTGGTGGTTCAGTTTACAATTACAAATAAATTAAACAATATAAAATAAAGTACATGTATTAGATTGTACTTTAAAAGGATTATTCTTAATGATTTCAAAGTAATTTCTTGCTTTAATTAGTTTGAGAATTTCATTGTATATTTACTGTGTTAACTTTATCGAAGTATCTGATCTTCCGATATTTGGTTTTACCTAAGAGTGATTTCTGAGGGTGTGAGCAAGAAAGGTGTAGTACCAAGTGCCTGTAAATAGGATAATAAAAGAAGGAAATATTGAGAGTAGGTGCCATAATTTCACTGTGATAGGAGAGGAGGAAAAAATATAAAAAGCATTAAAACAAAAAGGTTTAATGCATTTAAATTGTTATTGAAAAAAGAAAATGTGAATATAATAAAGATCTGCAGATTATCTGGGAATGTTCAGAATGAGGTTGTATAGTTAATTATGGAGGAGGAGTATAAGAGGAAGAAAGGGTAGGACCTGCTTTATCAAGAGTGGTATTTTGCTTAAGAAAAACTAATGAGTAAGTTCTTGAATTAAATGGTCAGGCAAAAAAAAAAAAGTAATAAAAAACTTAAACAGGAATACAGTTTAAGAATAAGGAAGACCAAGAGACTGTTTGGTCTAATAAATAATCTTTATTATTCATATTTTGATATTCGTACATGTCATTGTTTATGGAAGAGTCCAAAATTGAGGACATGAACAGAAGATGACCACAGGAAACATAAGAGAGCCTGAACAGGCCAGATTGGTCAAATAAATGGCTGAGAATTCAGCACCAGTAAGTGCAAAATACTGCAATTCGGAGCAAGGTAAGAGAGAATAATTGGAAGAGAAACTACTAAAGTCAGACATAGGGACAAGTATATAACACCAAACCAGTTTCCTGGGTTCAGATTAGTATAACAGTGGCATATGCTAGGATGACATTTTATGAATTTAAACAAATTACTTCATTATTCACCATGTGTGATTAAACATTACATATTTATTGCCTGTGTGTGGCCTTCACCTGGCCAAGTACATGAAAAAAATTAGTGGCTTAAATAAGTATGATAGTTAATTCCTGGCAATCATTTGAACCTAAGAAACTGGCCAAATAATGGGAATTTACCCCTCTTGACACTTGCAAGTAGGTAGTTACACAGTTTATTAAGTTGTTGGACAGTAACAGAAGCACATTTGTTACAAACAAAAAGAAAGGTATAGAGGCAGAAACTTACTGCTGTTCAGGCCCTTCCACACTTGCTAGGGAGTTGCATTTTGACTTTTTCAAGCAGTGCGTTAGTGATCATTATTTTTATACCGTATATGAGCTGACTACCTCTCATTATTGAACTATCCTTTCCTTGTATCAAATGTGATTACCTCCTGTTTCTCAAGGCACGGTTGGCTCCTTGTTTAGTGCTTCTCCATGAAAATAGTGAACCAGTTTACTTCAATTATGATTCTTCCACACTTTGCTCTTACATTATCACCCATGCAGTGCTGAGTGACTTTTGGGCTTGACTCGGTGAATGTAATATTATAATAATGAATGTAAATGTCAAGGGATTGCTCATAACTCTCAGGATTTCAGATAAAAATAAAATTTAATCATTATATATTTCAGATTAGTCAAATAAATACAATTATAAAAAAAATACCTTGCTTCTACATATAGGCAAGTGATGTTACACTAACTAGTGCAAACCCTTTATGGTGGTTCCTTGATGCAAGTGAAGGGTTCATGATTCAAGGTAATGGCATTATCTTCCACTTGCTTGAATCAGGTTTGATTACCTCCCATTCCACATGCTATATTACCCCCTATGGGGAAACATATATATACACACACACACATACATAGTGTATAACTAGTGCAAATGCAATAGTGTTGTAACGACGGTATATCCAGCTCTTCTAGTTCCGGTAGGTAGGTTTGTGGGTTGGTTTGTGGTAACTTGGTTGTGGTGGTTTGTATGAAGGCTTGGGTGCTGGTGGCTGATAGTCTGGCTGGTAAGGGTCAGGCTTGTCATAAGGGTCAGCTGGAATGTGAAGTGGTCCCTCGTATGGTTTCTGGTAGTATGGGTTGTGTTCTGGGTCCACATTCAGTCTGTAGAGTACAAATTAACCATTGTTTTTATCACTTAATAATACTGTTATAAAATATAAAAAAAAAAAAATAATACTGTTATCTGCACAATTACTACACTAATACTGCAATCCTTAGTGATATACTGTATTATTATTTATTGGTAGTGCCAACAAGTATGTTAGGAAGACTTGGAAGAGAACAAGCCTTTAGTATAGATGCTCTGCTCTGGGTTAAACTTATCAAGAGACAGGACTTTACAGGTGAGAAGTGAAGTGGCGAGGTGTGTCAGTGTCTGTATCAAGTGTACGTGCAGAATAGGTTCGACAAGTGGCTTGACTGCTAAATGTCCCTCGATTCTCCTACAGTCTTACTATTATTATAATCAAAATCAAGCACTGAACCCACAAGTGCAGTACAGTATGTGGTCCTTTATTAATGACATTTCACCCCCACAGTGGGCTTTATCAAATTATAAACATAAACCTGGAGAGAAAGGACAAGTCTATATATAGGAAATAGTGAGGTTATGAGTTAGGCTAGATGTGCTGAAGAATACTTTGGGTAGCTTAATAAAAGGTTAGATATGACTGGGAAGTGGGCCTACTGCAGTGCTCCTCTGTTCTTTTATACTTATGGTCTGTTATGTGGGAAGCTTCCTGGCAAGAAGCTCCCCGATGTTGTAGAAGCTGTTTTGGTTGATGTTAATGGATATGCTAACAAGTGATGATCCTATTATTATAATCAAAAAGAAGTGCTAAGCCACAAAGACTATACAGCAATGATAATCCTAGGATCCTGCTCTACTGGCATTCACAATGTGGAGGTCTCTGATTTTGTCAGTTATTGCAAGGGAAGGAATGTGTATACCCCTGCAGTGGTTTGGACTTTGTCATTTACTGATGATGTTCTTGATCATCTTTGTTTCAGGGTGGATACTTGGAATTTGGTGGAGAAAATATTGCAGACATGTTAAAAATAAACACAAAAGCAGTATTTATTATTATTATAATCAAAAAGAAGCGCTAAGCCACAAGGACTATACAGCCCAAAAGCAGTATGTGATCCTTTATTGACAATGTTTCTCACACACACAGGGCTTTATCAAGTCACAAACAGATCTTCACATTATACTGCTTATGTGTTTATTTTTCTATCGTGTCTATTTTATACCATTTATTTCCATCCAGTCAAGTTGAATGTTTACTGCATCTGTGATAGAACAGGGATAATGAAGTTTCAGGAATGAGCATTCAAGTAATTCCCTACTGCAGATACAAAGAGTACCTAGGAAGAAGTTAATGATGCCACATTTAGTCTTGGTGTTATAGTGTGAGAAGTGGAGGAGATCGTGTTGGCAGGGTTGCTGTCGACTTTGAAATGTAGTTCACTGTCAGATTTGCAGAGTAGAACATAGAGGAAAGGGAGAATGCATTTGGCTTCTTTGAGCATGAATTGGATGAAGAGCTAGACAACATTGAGCTTGTGCTTGTGCTTTAGTGCAGGTTCGTCAAATCTTTTAGGAGTTATGGTATGTTGTCAACATACTGGAGACAAGTGAGGGGATAATGGAAGAAAATTTCTTTGCTACAAGATGTTCCATGAACAGATTCGCCAGCATAGCACATAGTGGGGAGCTTCGGTGACCAAAGGTCTGTTAAAAGAGGATTTTGAAGGTAAAACAACTCATAGGTCAATGAGGTCTTACAAAGTGGTGACTCCCTCGACTTTCCTGTTCCAGTCCATGACTTTGTAAACCTCGCTGAACTGTGTGCTGGTTTTGACTATTTCTCTTTTTCAACAGACTTATGGCCTGCTATGGATTCCCCAACTAATATCTGTGCTGGTGAACCTATGAATGGAAGAACTCATAACAGTGCTTTTAATTTATCACCTCACACACTTGACTGCTATACCTTTGAGTAGTACTAAAGTGTTTTATTTTGTTTTACTTTTATATTCAGTAGCTCCATTGTTTTTTAGATTTAAAATAATTATCTTAGTTCATACGTTCATATTTGTTAGTGGTTTAACATCAATTGCTTTTTTGTTTTTAATAATTGGAACGGCTTTTTTTCTACGTACCCCTTATGAAAGCAATTATCGATCCTGATATCAACCTCTTATTGAACTGCACACAATCCTAACAGTAATTGCCATTACTACACTGCTAGTCAGGCTAATACCCTTCTCAGTGCCAGCAAGAGCATTACAGTCTTAACTATAATCTTAGATCATTGAGTAAACACTACGATGACCTCATTGCATTACTGAAGTCTCTAAATGCTACTATAACTTTCATTATACTTGCTGAAACCTGGCTCAGACAAGATTTGACAGACTTTTACCATACCTGGTTACACAGCCATACATAACTGGAGGCCTGACCAATCAGGAGGAGGCACTGCCATCTATTACTCTGAGCTAGAATGTATGAAATCAATATATGCACGGGATGAAAACAGCGAATATGTAATAGCTAAATTCACATCAAGAAACTTATAACAGTTGGTGCAGTCTACAGACTACCAAACACAAATACTTACAACTTTAGCATAACGCAAGAAACATGATAAGATCAGAGTTGTAATAAACACCATCTGATACTACAGATTTTCAGCATAAACCTCATCCAAGCAAGCTGACCCTCACAGTAGCTGATTTTGGCACAATCACTACAACACTTAGCTTGTGCTAGTCTACCCTCTATATATGAAGTTGAAAACAAAATATCTCTTGAGACAGGTTGCGTTCATACTTGGATTCATAATCTGGACCAGACACGATAGTCCCGACAACAAGTCAGGTGTATTATATCATTAGAGTCAACATCCACAGACCACTTCTCCGCTACCTTTCTCATACCTTAACTTATCTAAACTTGCGAGCCTTAAACAAGAAAAGAGTTCTCATTTCGCCTTCATGGCAGGGGAACCGTATGAACAACCTAAAACATATGCTCTAGTTGGCCTACTTTATGGCAGATCAGTCTAGCCCTGACAGTAATGTATTTATTGAAAACAAGATTGAGGGGTTTTTTGGATCAAATTTTTTATTTTACAAAAAACCCTAAAGCCTCTATAACGAATATGTCCTCAGTGCATAATCGAAACCAGATTACAGGAAAGAGATCTAAACAGCCCATGGCTAACAAAAGTATCCTCAAATCGTATATACAAAACAACTTAAATAACAGTTATTAAGATTAGGCCTAATTACTAAAGAAATTACAAGATTACACATCAGTAACTCACAAAACTAGAATGAAAATCAAAGCAAATGTATTATGAAAAATAGATTTAGGAGGCGAGAAAAGGTGATAAAAATACCTTGCAAAACCCTCCAAAGTTTTGGCTCTAGGAAAACCGTCTGGAAAATAGAGAGAGAAACTTAACTAAACCAGATGAACCTCGCATATAACCTATAGACACAGCTGACAAATTTAATGTCTTCTCTCTACTGTAGGATCAACACACACATCAAGATAAATTTCCTTACTCAAATAGCCCAGCTGAACGATTACCTCCTGGCAACGTACCCAAATACCTCTATTTCTAGCTCCAACTAATCAGTGAAGTCTCACTCATCATTGAAATCTTAAAAACAAAGCAGGTGATCGAGATAAAAACTTGCCACCATTCATATATAAAAAAGCTGTCACTAAATTTTGAGCTAACACCGACCAATTGTTTGCCTAACAATCTTTAACAATCTTTGATCAATCGCGCAACCTTTCCCCCAATCTATTACTTCTTTCAAGATCAGAGCATATGGAGTCACCTCCAGATTTATTGCACACAAACAGGGAAGGTGATTCCAATGCTGACTTGTAACAACTATATACCCACTATCTAAACTTTGTTAATTTTGCCCTAAGCTTTCGCAGATATTCAGAAAAATGGATACCACGCGCAACTTAACTCCTACCTTACATCCAACAACGATATCATGCCCTATTTTGGGTTTATGACAAAAAAAAAAATAGTTACAACAGTTATGGTTGATAGATCGGCAGGGCATAAATAGCAATCTGCTTGACCTTAATATACAGGAGCTCTTAGCATATAAAAATTATATACTTCTCTAGGGGAGCTCTATTAGACACTATCAAAATAGTATGATACAGATTGAGACCACATCTCTTGTCTACACAAACTGAATTCATTACGGCGTCATAGGACATTTCCATGACTACCTAAAATCCTATCTTAACCCCTTCAGGTCCTAGGCCAAAATCTGAAGTGGTGCTTCCGTGTCCAAGAAATTTGAAAAAAAAAAAAAAAAAAATTATTTTTTCTTACAGAATTAAAGAGCATATCGGAGATGTGAATGTAATATGACAAAAAAAAAAATCTGATCATACTTACCGAGATAACAGTGCCAAGAAGTTTGTTATGAAAATGATGTGTGGGCGGCAAGCATCGACGAATTCCACATACCGGACAATACAAGTATTTTGCGGTTTTTGTTTTTTTTCTTTTCTTTTCCGTTGTTTCTGTATTGCCTACTAACATTTGGGCCTGAGAGACCAATCTGTATATAGTGTAGTAGGGGTTGGTAGGACAGCAACCACCGGCAGGGAGGTACTACCGTCCTGCAAGTGAGAGTAAAACGAAGCCTTGATTGTTTTACATATGGAGGATCTGATTGCATTTGTCTGTCTCATAAATTATGCAAGATTACAGGCATGTCCTTGCTACATCTACATACACTTAGGGTCACACCTAACACTACATGTACACAATTATTATATACACACTCATCTGAGTTTTTCTTGAATTTTATATCAATAGTCTTGGTCTTATTAATTTTCCGCTTTTGCAGCGGAGCGGTGCAGTGGGGAAGTGGAAATAAGAATCTTTCCTCCGAAGCCGATGCGTCGTGTGTAAAAGTCAACTAAATTGCCGTGAACAATGGGCTAGTAAACCGCCCTTTACTCCCGCTGGCGTTGAGGAAGATTTACTAAACAGAAATAAGCAAGATTTAATATGATAATATTTGTTCAAAGAGGTGAGGAAGTA